GAGTAGTTAAAGAACTGTTTAGAAATCTCTTAACCATAATTTCATGATTTACTAGTGGATGGAGTACGTAGTATTGTGAAAAATTAATTACTGTGATGTTCACAAAGTAGCAGTACTCTTAACTCTGCCAGATGGTCTTTTTTTGGGATGGAGTCTCACTCTCTGTCACCCAGGCTGGAGTGCAGTGGCGTGACCTCGGCTCATTGCAATCTTCACCTCCTGGGTTCAAGCAATTCTTGTGCCTCAGACTCCCAAATAGCTGGGATTATAGATGTGTACCACCATGCCGAGCTAGCTACTTTTTCGTATTTTTAGTAGAAATGGGGTTTCACTACGTTGGCCAGGCTGGTCTTGAACTCCTGTCCTCAAGTAATCTGCCTACCTTGGCCTCCCAAAGTGCTGGGATTACAGGCATGAGCCACCATGCCCAGCTGGATGGTTATTTTTAACCACAATTTTGCAGGGGGGTGTAACTTTTATTTTGAAAAAATTTAATAGAAAACTATAAGTCTTACACCCAGATTCCTTTATTGTTATATTTACCACATCAGCTTTATTATTTTCTCTATGAATGTACATTATTTCTTTTTTTCTTTCTTTTTTTTTTTTTTTTTTAGATGGAGTCACTCTTGTTGCCCAGGCTGGAGTGCAATGGCGTGATCTCCACTCATTGCAGCCTCCATCTTCCGGGTACAAGCTATTCTCCTGCCTCAGCCTCCCGAGTAGCTGGGATTACAGGCGCACGCCACCACAACCAGCTAATTTTTTGTATTTTTTATGGAGATGGGGTTTCACTGTATTGGTCAGGCTGGTCTCAAACTCCTGATCTCAGGTGATCCATCCACCTTGGCCTCCCAAAGTGCTGGGATTACAGGTGTGAGCCACTGTGCCCGACCTACATTATTTTTTTCTCAACCATTGGAAGTTGCAGATATAATGCTCCTTTGTGTGTGTCCTAAAAACAAGGACATCCACCTACAGTAACACAATGCAGTAATCAAAATCAGGGAAATGAACGTTGATATAGCACAGCTATATAATCTACAGACATTATTCACAGTCTACCAATTGTCCCAGTAAGTCCTTTGTCACAAAATAAACATAAACTTTCTGGTGTTCCAGGGTACAGTGTGAGATCACACGCAGCATTTATGTGGCATATCTCTTTAAGTGTCCTTTAACCTTTACCTTGTCTTTGCTGTTCATGACCTTGATATTATTGAAAAGTACAGACAAGTTATTTTATAGTTAATTTCTCCTTCAATCTGGGTTTATCTGGCATTTCCCCAGGCTAAATGATGTGTCCTTTATGCCTCACATCAGGAGCACATGATTTCGGTATGATCCACACAGACAGTGTTAACTTCGCCCTCTTGCCACGATTCTCCCCTGTAAAATCACTACTTTTTCCTTTGTTATTAATAAATATCTTACAGGGAAATATTTTGAGACCACGAGATATCCTATTCCTCCTCTAACCATCAGCCACTCATTTTGGCATCCACTGATGATTTTTACTTGAGTTAATGATGTTTGTCAAATGACAATATTCTTAACTGAACCAGACGGTAATTTTTATACTGAGCAGCCATATATGGGGGCTTTTGGTAATTCTTAGAAGAATTCTGTAAGTATTTTGAATGACTGTAGTTGTGGGATACCTTTGTCCTGAAATTAGTGTGTCTCTTGCCCTCTGTCCTCCTGTACACTTGGATGTATGGCCTTGACCTGTGGAATGGGCAGCCCAAAGGCAGAAGGTACGTGGCCTGTCAGAACTGTGGACAGGGTCTACCGGCTGCGCTGTGGGTGCGCACGCTGCCTTTATGCTCCCTCACTCTCTTGCTTCAGGGGCTTGTGGTTTCTGCAACCCAGTACATTTCGACTTTAAAGCTTGGTTTCAGGTGTAACCAGTTATTAATAAAATTGATCTGTGGTTTTCTTGTTTGTTTACTTGAAAATAGCTGTTACTGAATTCTGTTGTCACATTTTTATTGTTATATGCTAACCAGCGCTAGTAATGGTTTTCCCTGGAAACAAGTGACCTCTCTATAGCAGTGCAAAATGGATTTTAAGAAATATGGAATCTAGGTCTATGTCCAGTATAAAACCTAAAGACTGTAATGTACTCCCCGAATTATAGCTGGTTCATGATGCCAAAATATTTTTGATTTTTTCTTGTTTGATTGCCATTAAATAATGCCTTTTATTAGTCCTCATTTTATATTCTTTTTCTTTTAATCGTAACCACCTCTCTCCCCCAAAATCCCTAAATTTCCAAACTACAATTTATTAATCTTTTAAAGTTAAAAAAAAAAAATCCTAAATGAGGGTCACCTTATTCCACCTTTACCAGTGAGTACTGCAAGGGGTCAGAAATGTCCTCCTTCCTCCCCTTCAGCCTCTGCTGTGTCTGAGATCCCACCGCCCCTCCTGCAGGTCTGCGCTTCCTCCCTGGCAAGCTGGGTAGGACCAGTCTTGTCATCAGCAGCTTCTGAAGTTGCTAAAGCTTGTGGAATGCAGTCTGACCCATAAATTAGCCCTGATTGAAAGCTGAAGTGTGTTGAGGGCTGAGGGTTGTCCTCCTCAGCTGCTGTAGTGGGCCCTTCCCTGGCTGGCTTGCCGCTGGCCTGAGATTCCTTCTAACCCCTCCTGGATACCTACTGGGAGAACATGAAGGCAGCATCCAGTTCTCTGTTGAGCACAGTTCAGGAAAAGTGGAAGGTAACAGCATTCCTTTCCATCTGGTTATGCTGATCTAAGAATACATCGGCTGAATGAAAAGAGAAGGGCAGCCCCTACCAGCCCAGGGCCACCTGAGCTGCCAGGGAACGCCTGTCTGTATTTCTTTCCTGCTGCTTGTACTTCCACCCTCTGTCATCTCTCCATCCAGTGACTCACAGCTGCAACCCTAGCTAAGATTTAACTCCTCCGACTTAGGGTCTTCCTGTCCCCTCTCCTCCCACCCGCTGCCCAGCTGCCTGCTGCTTCACCAATCAATCAGATGGATCAGATTAGCCCCCAAAGGGCAGAGGTGTTAGGCTGCCTTTGCTCATCAGCCTCCTCCTTGTTCTTAGGTGTCTTTCTTATGTGAGCCTTTCTCTTCTGCTCACTTGTCCCCACCTTGTTCTATAGGATTCTTGGTGGCTCCTCCAGCCAGGGTGCCTTAATGTTGATGTTCACAGAATGCTGGGGGTCGGGAGTAATAGGCAACTCCTCCTTTACCACCAACCTCATTATTCATTTTTTTTTTTAATCTAGTGGATTTTTGCCACACATGCATTACAATCTCAGATGATTCTACAGTATACCCATTTGTGGAGAATCACTGTTCTCTAAGAGAAAGTAAAGCAGATGTTATATTCTCTCTCTCTCTCTCTCTGTCTCCTTCCCCCTCCTTCCACCCCCACCCATAGGCACACTCTGGGATGCCCTGGGAGGGCAGTGGGCAGTGGGATATTGTGTTTCAGAAAGTAGACAGGCTCCCACAGACCCTGGCTGAGGCAGAGGTGGACAGGATTTACCCAGCACGGCTAACTTTGCACACATGGTGAGGGGAACCTACTGCCTCAGCCACAGAACTGCAGCCTGGCAACATCAGGCCTGGAGAGGGGAGGAGGGGTGGCTGGAATCTGAGAATACCTAGGGGTTATGCAGAGCAATTGGGGTGGATTGAATTATTCTCAGCAAGCAACATGACCAGGGTTCCATATTGAAAGACCACCCTGACAGGTTCAGAGCAAGGTGAGGCTGGGGCAGGGGAGACATAAGAGATTTCTGCAACAGCCAGGTGAGAAATGAAGAGAATCGTAGCTGAGAGGCTTGCTGGTGGGCTACAGAAGAGTGCGCATATCGGAGAGACTTGTGAGCTGCATCTGCAAGAGTTTGGTCCCTGACTGATCTGGGGGTGCGGGGGCTGGTAGGGAGCAGCCAGGTGTTCTTGTCAGTGTACCTTTTAATGGTTCTTAAGAAAGCTGTTGAACAGTTCTCCTAACCTATTCCTGTTATCACTTTGCCGTGCACTGTAACCCCAGGAAAGATTTTTGTGTCTCTTCTGGGCTAAACCCGGCAGGAGACAAACTGGGACCAAATTAGTGAGGAGACCTGCTGCAGGACACAGAGCCTGTGAGAAGCAGGCTCCAGCCCGTGTCTTCTTGCATTGTGTTTACCAGTCATGTTAAATGCAGCGGCACTGCAAACCTCAATAATTTTGTTTATAGCTAGCATTTTTGCATAAAGTCGTCTCTTATTTTTTGCCTTGATACTCTTTAAAGTGAAAATCACAAAAGTTATTCTAGAAGTAACCCCCTGGCTCCTGAAATGACGACATACGGTGACAACATTTTGCCTCATTCAACCTAGAGTGTCACCTTAGTTCCTGGATGATAAGGGATATTTGGAATGAAATATTTATTTTATGCTGTAGAATACTGGATAACTGTGCCACTGCACCAGATATATAGTGAGTATTCACAAAATATTGGTTGTGTGAAACGAATTGTGTGAAAGAAGTCGCTTTTTCTCGTACCTTATTCAGAATGATGCTTCGGAGGGATTTTGTGACTCACTGAGCTTCACTTGCTGATGCAGCTGTAATGCTGGATAGACAGTGGGATAAAATGAACATACTCTGCTGTTCGTGGTCTTTGGGGGTTCTATTTTGAGGCGTGCTATGTCTGTTTTTAGTTTCTTGAAACTGCCTTTTATGCACAAAACCAAAGTAGACAGTGTATAACCACAAAGCCATGCAGAATCTGATGCGTCGTGTTTCCTGCTCCAGCGCTGCCACTTCCAGGTTTTTCGTCTAACTTGAATCAAACGTGTTTATTTTTTACAGAGCTTACACAAGAAAATTTATTTTTGAAATTACTTTTCAGAAAATCTATTTTTAACTGGTAAAATACATGTCACATCTAAATGTACAGTTCAGTCATTTAAGTATATAAGTTGTGCAATCAGTTTAAGTATATAAGTATATACTTAAACTTAAGTATTTAAGTATATAAGTATATACTTAAACTTAAGTATTTAAGTTGTGAAATCAGAACTGTTTCATCTGAAATGATGTGTTTTGAAGGAGTTCCGTTAGAATTGAAAAGGTAGGACGGTGAGTCGCGGCATCTGCAGTGTCTTGGTGTCAGGAAGACACAGCCTGGTACCAGTCAGTCCTGGTGATGTGGGCAGCAGGAGTGGGAGTGGGGAACAGCTCTGTGGTGGATGGGAAGGCACACTGCTTCGGAGGATGCTGCACTTAGAAATCAGTTTCTTTAGGCAAAGTCTGCACATACCTGGCTTACCTCCAGGAAGTGGGGCGCCAACATAAAGGTGAAGGCTCCAGATCAGCGTCAGCAGACTCTTCATGTAAAGGGCTGGCTGGTAGATATTTTAGGGTTTTTGCAGGCTGTGGGGTCTTGCTCCCAACTACTCAGCTCAGCCACTGTAATGCAGAGACAGCTGTAGACAGTAACGAAAGTGAGCGTAACTGTGTCCAGTAAAAATTTTAATGGGGGATTTTGGCCGGTGGGCCGTAGTGTGCCGACTCCTGCTCTGAATCACACATCTGAGTGGTTTTGTCTGGGGCCTGGTACCACTGGGTGCTGTTTCCTGTCTAGTTACCTGGTTTTTTAAAGTACGCTTTCCCTGCTGTAAGATGGGAGCAATACCTATAAAACCTGTGCCTGGCATGTGATGACATGAAATAATATGTAAAATGCCACTCTGAAAGAAGTTACTAATGTGTTTTTCTGTGAGATGCGATTCTGAAAAGCGGCATTTAAATCATAGTTTGTTCATGGGCTCCTGTGTTTAATAGAGTAGTCAACTTAGGGCTTACAAGAGGGCTAAACCACTCCAACAGATGCCTGAGAGGATGCAGCCGAGAGATGTTAATTTCTCTTTCCAATAACAGGATGGCTGTTCCAGGATGTTGGGAGACCCTGTTCCTTGTAGTCATTGAGGGGTCTAGGGTCTTCTATTTTGCTTTACTGCCAGCTCCTGTGGCATTGTCCTTGATTGATCAGTAGCATGGATACTGTGCTCAGCAGACAGACAGCTACAGGTGGGGAAAGAGGGCCTGGGCACACAGAGCTCAAGCCAGGTCTTAAGCAAGAGCTGAAAGGGGAGCAGCTCACTCACTCACACTCTACTGGAGAGGTTTTGGGTCACACTTAACTGGTCAGAAGGCCCAGTAGCCAGAGCCAGACCATGCAGACAAAAAGTCAGGGTTTGTGATTTAACTTAGAAATAGAGGCAGGATGGAAAAATGGATTTGTGTGGAGACTTGGAGATCATGTACCATGCAGTAGATCTGTTCTGGGAGGAGAAGGAAGCTATGGTTGTGAGTGATGAAGGTCACTGCACTGGGTGTTCAGAAGCAGCTGTCACAGCCTCTTCCATTCAGCACTTATTATGTAGCTTTATTTAATGTTGCAAAATACCACATAGAGAAGAAGGAATATAAGGGCAAAACTAATGGCTGGATAGCTGTTGTGGCTTGTAATTCTGACCTAAAATTAGTTTAGAAATTACAATTGAAAATGCAATTGTGAAGTATTTTGAAATATGTTAAAATGTTGCCTAGCCTGCTGAAATGTTTCTCAGCTGAGGTACCCATGTAAAATGTGTGCATACATATCAACAGGCTAAGAAACAGAGGAGTCAAACTATTTGATTAGTTGAGACAGGTTTACCTCCAATTAACTTTTTAATTCTTTTCTTTCGGTTTGTAGCACTTGGTGATGCATGTGTTAATGTTCATAATAAAACAAAAGTTACCCATTCTTAGATTACTTTATTACTACGAGTAATGGCTTTCCTGCTGAAGGTGCTTCGTAGCTCCATGAAGAGGGCACAGAGAAAGTTACTTGATGCCTTTGAGTCACTTTCACTTTAAAAGATGCTAGTAGCCTTTGGATCCCACTTTGCCCTGGTGCTTGGCCAAGGCCAGGGCATCTGACTGCCTCTAATCACACTGAGGAAGGAGGTGGTAGAGGGGGAGGTTTGATCTATGCTGATGGCCCTACCCTTGCTGGTGCCCTCTGTTGCTGGGACTTGGCGCCCCACCTGCTTACCAAGCAGAAGTGATCTCAGAGTGGTCTCCATAGCCAAGAGAGTGGGTTTTGTCAGGCAAGGAAGGATCCTGAAGATGCACACCCTCCCGGTGTGGAACATGGTGCTATCCCCAGCTCATCTCCCTTGGTACCAGGAGTGTTGGTGTTCTGTACACACTAACTAGAGGACTTTCCCACTCTTCTGTTTGCCTGTTTGCTCTTAGGCATTATCTAACCCAAATTTGGTTCCGTGGGAATAAACATACTTGGTCAGAAAGTGTGAATAGTTATTTCTAGCATTTAAAACTTTCTTGCTGATGATGCTATTAAAATATGCACATGTGCATGCACGCAGTATGTCTGCAGCTGGAGAGGAAGGAGCATGCACTGCTCCCGGGCAGCTGGTCAGGCTGGTGGCCCAGCCATCATGCCTGCTCCTTGTCCAGGGGAGGAAGTTGATGTTCTGAAGGTGTCTGCTGAAGAAGTGAGTGTTCTGAAGGAGCACAGCATATTCAGTCTGCTCCAGGGTTGGTTCCCTCTGGAAAGCTTCCCTGGCCCCCTCACTGCTGTGTGGTCTCCCTCAGGTTTTCCCTGCTGGAGAGGCCTTCCCTGACCCCAGGATGTGACACTGTAGCCCTGCCCTCGACGCTCTCTCCCCAGCTTTGTGGTTCTCCAAAGCTCTCATCACTGTCCGACACATTGCTTATTTATTGCTTGCTTGCCAGGCAGGCATTTCTAGTTGTCTTAGCTGAAGAGATAACTGAGAGTCAGCCTGAACTCTACTGTGTGGAGTGGCTGTGGGTCGTGAGCAAGTTGCTGAACACACAGACTAGAGTATCCCTGAATGTAAAACGTGGATAGTAAGAGCTGTTTCGTCAGATTATATCAGTGCATATAGACTAGGTCCTTGGGATAGCTTCTGAGAGATTTTATTATATTAAATCACATAAATTATTTCACTTCAATGGGAGAGGAGTGGTAATAAGCATTTTTAAAAATATGGTGCCTCTGATGGGTTAAAGGGCTGGCTGTCAGTTTAAACATGTTGCCTAGTGTTTGGCTAAAAGGACAGTTGAATGATTGTGCAGGGAAAGAGGTTATTTTGGAAATACATGTAGGATGATTACTGTCAGCTATCACATCTTACCCTTTGGGTAAATGCTTAATAAGGTAATATATTAATGCTGGGCTCTGCTATGTGCTAGGGCCGTGGAAAGAATCTGTGAGGCCTTCAGGGAACCTCTGTGGAACCACCAAGGATGCATTTCGAACTCTGAATTCTGAGAATTCTAGTTGATCATCCTTGAAGGATGCATTTCTGAAGATGTTGTATTTGAAAGTCCCCTTGGCAACAATATGGCTCTTATTGCTATATTGGTTGGGAGTGAGGGGAATTGGGGTGAAGGTTGGCTGTCTTGCCTTGGCTGGTCTGCCCCTAGACCCCTGCGTCGCTGTCTGGGAATCTGAGGGGTAGGGGTTGGGGTGGGCATGGGGATGTCTTTTGTGAGCAGGCAAAGGCCCTGGGTGGAGTGTGGGTGTTCTCGTAGCGTGGTGCATCTCTTCTGTTGTGATGTTTAAGTATTGACTGGAGCCACTTACGTTATCTGTGATCAATCTTTTTGTCCTCACCTCTAAATGAGAGAGATGATATCTACTCATTCATATATTCAGCAAGTACTTAGAGGGCAATTACTGGTCCTTGGCACCTAAAACAAAATGAGTTTTGCCCTCACGGAGTTTAAAATTGTGAGAATTAAGTGAGCAAAGAGAGAAGTATGGTATCTCATAGGAGATACTTAAAAATATTTCTCTCTTATTTTTAGAGCTTTTTAGTTTAGAATACTGTCTTAAAGAAAAAAGATCTTATTGTGAATTAATTACTTGCAATTTATATTCACCTGCCTCTTTCCACAAATGATCTGAAGTTGAGCGTATTTCATTTATTACTGTAAAGTTTTTGTTTTTGCTTAGAGTAGTGAGTAGATGGATGAATGAAGGAAAATGAATGATTTTATTATAAATAAGCCAGAGAAAAAGTACTACCAGTTCCTCCCTAGAATCTACTTAACAGATAATTTGAGGACTTTCTTCCCTAATAGGTTGCTTTAAAAAAATAAATTTTTGAAGCAGCTTTAGATTCACAGCAAAACTGAATGGAATGTGTAGAGATTTCCCAAGTGCCTGCTGCCTCTACACATGCGCAGTCTCCCCCAGTGTGGATACCTTGTACCAGAGTGGTACCTTTGTTAACCATCAGTGAACCTGCAATGACATTATCATCACCCAAAGTCCACAGTTCACAACAGGAGTCACTCTTGGTGTTGAACATTCTGTGGGTTTAAACAAGTTTATAACAAATACTCTCATATATGTATCATACGGAACAGTTCACTACCCTAAAAATCCCTCCTTCCCCTCAACCCCTGGCAGCCACTCCTTTTTACTGTCTTCACAGTTTTGCCTTTTGTTTTACAGTGTTACATAGTTGGAATTCTACAGTAGCCTTTTCAGTTTGGCTTCTTTTACTTAAAATGTGCATTTAAATTTCTTCTGTGTCTTCTCATGATTTGATAGCTCATTTTTAGAAAAATGCTGAATAGTACTCCGTTTTCTGAATGTGCCAAAGTTTATTCATTCACCAACTGAAGGATATCTTGGTTGCTTCCGAGTTTGGCAATTATGAAAAAAAGTGCTGGAAACACCCATATGCAGATTTTCGTTTGGACATTAATTTTTCAGCTCTTTTGGGTCAATACCAAGGAGCTCACTTGTTGGATCCTGTGATAAGAGTATGTTTAGTGTGGTAGAAAACTGAACAGGTGACTGCACCATTTGGCATTCTCACCTGCAGTGAAGGAGAGCCCCTCTTGCTCCATGTCCCGTCACTCCTCTCAGCCATTCTCAGAGGTGTATGGTGGCATCTCACTGTGGTTTCCATTTGCATTTCCCTGATGACAACAATGACTTTTCACATGCTTTTTTGGGCCATCTGTTTAACTTTGGTGACATGCTTGTTAAGTCTTTGGCTACTTTTTAATTGGGCTGTTTTTGGTATTTTTGAGTTTAGAAGTTCTTTGTATATTTTAGGTAAGTGTTATAAGTCTGTGACTATTCTCTCAGTCTGTGACTTGTCTTCTCATTTTCTTGGCAGTGTCTTTTGCAGAGCAGAAGTTTTTAATGAAGTCAAGTTTATCAGTTCTTACATGGAGTGTGTCTTTGGTGTCGTGCCTAGAAAGTCATCACCAAACCCAAGGTCATCTAGATTTTCCCCTCTGTTTTCTTGTAGGAGATTTGTAGTTTTGCCCTTTGCATTTAGGCCTGGGATCCTCTAAAGGGTAAGGTCTGTGTCTCATTTCATCTCCCTGCATTTGGATGTCCAGTCGTTCCAGCTCCATGGGTTGAAAAGCCTATCTCTTCTCTGTGGGATTGCCTTTGCTGCTGGCCTGTGCTTTGAAAACTATCCGTATTGCATCCCTGGGAATTTGGCCCTATGGAAGCTTTACTAGCTTCCCTTCCCCACCCACCTTTCCCCTAAAAGACAAACCCACTCCCTTCCCTTCCCTCAGTCGCCTCTCCAGTGTTTTTCTTATCCTCTTTTGTGAAAGAAAACTTTAAGAATGGTGCCTTTGTGAGGTAGATGTGAAGTTGAGAGTCCCTGCAGACTTCATATGAACAAGCGGCAAACGTGGAGTCTTCAGCCTCGCAGCTGTCATGCTCAAAACATAGGGTCCACACCTGTGGCATGTAACCCCCACCCCCACTCAACACTGTGTAAATGACAGAAACAGTGACAGTTCTGCATATAATGCGTGACCCAAAGCTGGCTTAGGCACCCAGAGCTTTGAGAGCACGTGCTCTACTTTGGAGGACTCGAGTGGCAGAGCCGGGCTGCAGGTGCCTTTGCTCCCTGTGCTGGCCTGCCCCCACCCACCAGCTTCCGCTAGCCCGGTGCTGCTTCATTCAGTCTTTTAAGTGGTGTTTTTTTTTTTTTTAAGACTTCAAAAGTCTTAGTAAGACTGCTGGAAGTTAACATGGTGTTAAATGTCTTTATGTCAAATACGATTCTACAGAAAGCAGGTGTAGATGAAAAAATATCCCAGTAGGACATGAATCTGTAGGTCATATTTGACTCACAGATGTATTTTAGCCTGTATTTCTTTTCACTGAAGTCGCCAGCACCTCAGTTAGACTTGACATAGAACAGCTGGAGTTCTAGCTTCCCTTGAAATCTGGCTGCGCTGGGCCTGGGTGGCATGTCCTGGTCCCGCCAGCTCTGTCCCTTCTGGCTTAAATCCACCTCGCCCCTGTAAGTTTGTTTTGATTTTTATTTTTGATTTGTTTTGTTTTTTTGGCAATCCCCTAGACTAGAGCTTACATCATATGTTCTCACAGAGATATGTTGCGTCCTGTGTGATATTGGCGTGTGGTCCATGTTGACTGGAGTGGAGAGGGCGCTAAGAGGGACACAGGCGTGGAGGTCAGAGGACTGGACCTGGTACCTGGGTGAGCTAGGTTTTAGAAACACCTTTGGAGAGAGGCCCTGGTAGCCGCTTCGTGGCAGGCCTGGGCTGGGACTAACGCCACACTCGCCTGCTCTATCTTAAGTTCATGCTTGTTTCTTTGTACGTGGCATTTGGGCTTTCACTGTCTGGTACAGCGCCCTTCACATGAGTGTTCAGTAAATACTGAGTGCTACATATGCACAGGACTTTGTTAATTTAAAGATAGTTCTGCATGTATTCATTCTGCAGAATGCTGCCACGTTTGCCACTTTATTTTTTTAAGGTGATACCTGGTGCACTCAACTGATTGCCCCAGATGAGATGTTTGTGAAGGGAAGACTGGGAGTTTAGATAGTTTTCTGACTGCAGATAAGGGTCTCCTGCCACAGCCTCTGCTGATTATTTAGACTATGGAATGGTCACTTGGAACATCTATTGTTTCAGCTTCATCCCTTTACTTACGCAGAAGCCTTAAATTACTATCAACAGCTTTTTCTCAATTATTTTGAAATGAGTCAGGCTTCTCTAAAAGGTGTTTAGGTTTCAGAATTAGTCACTAAACATTCAGGACTCATTCATATAATTCTTTTTTTTTTTTTTTTAACCACTGAAGTCCCAGCTTAATTTCCATGACAGTTTTAGTTTTTTGAATGGAGTCTTTAAAATACAGAGAACCTAATCCTTGAGCTTAATTAGATGAAAATTGGCAAAGCCTACACAAAACTAATTAGGAAAGACCTAATAGGGACAGTAGGGTAACCATATGTCCTGAGAGTCTGGGACAGGCCCAGTTTATGCTGGTGGTCTTGGTCTAATTATTAACAGACCCACTCTTTCATCTCAAAAAATCCTGCTTGGGACAGTAAATTACCTGTAAAGCCTACCTACAGGCATATGAGAATGTAATTTGAATATTTAAAAACTTGTGACTCTGGCTATCAGCAGTTATGGTGTCTCAACGTTTAGACAATGCTTATTTTCCTTGAACCACTTTTCAGGACAAAAGGGTAAGAAAACCAGTTCTCTGTAATGAACTGAAACACTGCCTGAGTGTGAATGGGAAATTGTTGCTCTGCAGTAGTGATGGTCTGTAGCTGAGGCTGAACTATGTATGTGATGAAGGACAGTCATGTAAACAGTTAACAGGAAGAACCAGGACCTAATGAGAATGTTGGCTTTCCTTGCCGAGGACAAGAAGGACATTTGCTAACGAAGACCGTGGAAGGTATTTGTTAACTGAAGATTAGATATGGGTAGTTGATGGTTATTCCCAGCTGGGCTTAGAAGTTCCTGGGAATAGTGTGACCTTGGTATTAGCCCCTCTCAGATTTGCTGGAGAATGACGCAGAGCCCTGAAGCATCTCACAGGAAGGGAGGTGGCTTTGCTGGAGTTGAAGGATATGGACGCACTTTTTGTAACAAAGATTAAGGGTTGTTTGGTGGACAGTGGAAATTAAATGAAGTCTTCAGTGCCACTATGTGCATCTTAAGAAGGTTTCTTTACAGCAAGTGATACTGTTGTGATTATTAACCTGTCTGTATTGATTCGTGTTTTCTTCTGTAGTACTTCTTTGTTTTATAATACTCTTCTAAGTGATATGCCAAATTATAGATTATTGAAAATACCTTATGATTATACAATTATCTTAAATTTTTAATTTGGTATTATTCCAAAAAATATATATATAATATATGTATATATATATTATACACACATATACACACACACTTTTTTTTTTTTTTTTTTTTGAGATGGAGTCTCACTCTGTTGCCCAGGCTGGAGTGCAGTGGTGTGATCTTGGCTAACTGCAGCCTCCACTTGCCAGGTTCAAGTGATTCACCCACCTCAGCCTCCTCAGTAGCTGAGACTACAAGCACATGCCACCACGCCCGGCTAATTTTTGTATTTTTAGTAGAAACAGAGTTTCACCATGTTGGTGAGGCCGGTCTCAAACTCCTGACCTCAAGTGATCCACCTCCCTGAGCCTCCCAAAGTATTGGAATTACAGGCATGAACCACCAGCCCGGCCCAAAACATTCTTTACAACAAAAATATCATTACATATTTGTTATGCCTGGAGTTACTAAAATAAACTGTTAACAATCTCATATTCTGGAGGGGGCACCAGGCCCCCACCATGGGGAGTGTGGGGACACTAGCAGCCAGACCAGCACAGCATGGGCGTTCTGGAGTCTGTGCTTTTTGCTCAGGAATCAGATGGGAAGAGCAGCAGATGCGCCTCCTTTTCCCCAGCAGAAAAAGAAGAATCCAGTCAGTAAGGAAAAGCATAGAGAGTCCCAACCAGCGACTCTTGACTAATCACTCAACTGCCCTATGCTTTTGTGTCCATATCAGCAAAATGGGATGGTGGGGGTGACAGACCTTCTGCTTTTCTGACTCAGTGGAACACAGTCAATAACAAAAGGAAAATACAGAAAAAAAAATATCTCATATTCTTAACTAATTTTATAGAAGAGTTGGAGATCTATTTTCATTGGATAGAAACAGTTAATAGGGATGTGTTATTATCCTTTAATCCTTAAAATATAGTTTGAGTCAATGAAGATAATGCTGCAGCTTCAGCCATATCAGGAGTAGGTAGGTGGAAGAACGTCAGAGCAGAGCTTTAGAGGATTTGTGGCTGGTTCTGACACGATCCCACAAGATCTCTGAATTCTTTACCTTGATGGATCGTCTGTCTAGTACAATGCAGTCATTTTTTTGAGGGGTTGTTTTTGAGACAGGGTCTCACTCTGTCACCAAGGCTGGAGTGCAGTGGTGTGATCATAGTTCATTGCAGCCTCAGCCTCCTGAGTAACTGGGACCACAGGCATGTGCCACCACATCTGGCTAATTTTTAAATTCTTTTTAGAGACAGGATTTCATTATGTTACCCATGCTCATCTTGAATTCCTCCCACCTCAGTCCCCCAAAGTGCTAAGGTTACAGGCGTGAGCCACCCTGCCCAGCCCGGTCATTTTATAAGTGAGAAAACTTGAGACTCGACCAATTCAGGTAGCTTGTCCAAGGTCTTACAACTGTATTCTTGAAATTGTTATATTCTAAACTTTCTTCCAGAGAAACAGTTTTATTTCTGTTACAAGAAAATTGCTAAACACTCATTTAGTCATATGACTATACTTTTTTGTCTTTTTCTGAGACAGAGTCTCACTCTGTCATCCAGGCTGGAGTGTAGTGGCACAATCTGGGCTCACAGCAGACTCCACCTCCCAGACTCAAGTGATTCTCCCACCTCAGCCTCCCAAGTAGCTGACCTGGAGGCACCGTGGCCCCAGAGCCTGGGGGGTCAGGTCAGGGCTTCTCTAGGTGTTCCTTCCTGCTCCATTCAGAAATCACAGATGATTTATGGATTTCTTTCCTAAACTGGCTTTAATATTTTATGGACATTTTTGCTTTGAATTATACTTTACATTTCCTATTCTTAAAGAGCTCTAAAGAGAGCATATTTGATATCTGCCTGTCCCTCTCCCATTCCACACATTGAGGGTAACAAGAAAATGTTTCCCTAACCTCTACACCAACCTGCATCAGCCTCTTTCAGAAAGGGAGCTATTTCCTTGACGTCAGTTTAGATTTTTGTACCAATCACTAAGGTAAGTGTTCCACCCAGTCTGTCAGCTAGGAGCTTCTTTGAGTTGTTTATATACTGTAGCAACATTAATCAATGTAATAAATTTTAGCAAATCCTCTGGGACAGGGCAGGGGCCACCAGCCAGTCTGGGCATAGACGTGGCTTTAAGTCCACTTTCTCTCAGGTGCTCACTCTACCCACATATGTGCATGTGCACCACTCACACACCTTTTAATCTTACAATAGATTTCTTCATTAAAAAAAGAAAATGGCTGGGCTCAGTGGCTCATGTCTGTAATCCCAGGACTTTGGAGGCTGAGGCAAGCAGATTGGTTGAACCCCCATCTCTACAAAAAAAATATTTAAAAATTAGCTGTGTGTGGTGGTGCGTGCCTGTACTTCCAGCTACCTGGGAGGGGGAGGTTGCA